GTAAAGGCAACTTCACTTCTTTAATATTAATGAAAAATAAAGTGACTCTTACAATACATCTTGTTTGTTTCTATACTCACTATTAATACAATCCACTCATGTTTCTTTTATTAAAGATTTCACTAGGTGGCGACAAATTATATTGTTGGATGAAACGTGCTTACGTATGATGACGTAAGCACGTTAGGGCGAGCCCTCCCGCCGTTCGAAAAAAAACATCTTTGAATGTAAGTCTATTGGGCCACTCGGGGCGATTCTCAGCCGGAGTGAAATCGCCCAAAAAGAGGCGGTACTCCACAGAACGTGACATGACGCTGATTGGACTATATCCAGAGGCTGCACAGTGACGGCTAGCGTGACTCTGTGGTTGAATGATATTGGTGGTGCGTCGCCCAATCTCCCTAATGAAGAAACCGCCCCTGGGACCGTATACCCCTTAGTGTGATAGGAACTGTGTATTAAGATAATAAATAGTGTGTGCCATAAAAAGGTTTAGAACCCCGTCCTTTACAACACTACACTAGTAATGGCAGAACTCCACGACTCCAGGAAGTGGCCCCGAAGTTTGCCACAACGTAAGAGACGTGGTGATTTACAGGCAACGTCAGTTGAGCGTGGACAATTAGACCCAAGCCGAAACATAACATATACAAAATATTGTTGGAAAATGTATATTTTCGTATTTTTTTATGATAGAATATAGTATTGTCATCAGTATGTGACATAAGTATACCAAGTTTGTAGTCGATACCACATTGGGAAGTGGGTTAAAATTGAGTTACAAGATTTGAGGATACGACAACAACAGAGTGAGTTAAATGAAAGCGTGTGAAAATAAGTAATATATAAAAATACTTTGGTTTAAACACGCTTTCATGAAATGTACAGTACTAGTAATGGCAGAAGTTGAGCGTGGGACAATTAGACCCAAGCCGAAACTTAACATGTAAAAAATAATGTTGAAAAATATTATATTTTTAATGATATAATATAGTATTCATACACTTAGTAGGTAAAAAACGAAATTAAATATAATAAAAAATAAAATAATAAAAAATGTACCCGTAAAAACAAAGTTTTTCACTATATATCCTTTATATGCGTGGCATCGGTTTTATTTTATTATTCGTTTCTGTTTTTCTTGAGTAAGAGTTTCATTTTTATCACATTGGTATTTTAAAGTAAATATGAAAAAAAATATTTTCCTAAAAAGTGGAAAATTTTGGAAAAAAATTTTCACGAACATTAATTGTCACGCACAACGAGTCTGTGTGCAAAATGTCAGCTCGATTGGATCACGGGAAGTGGGTTAAAAAACGACCGAAAGATTTGCACGGTCGTAAGCGCGCAAGCACGCAAGCGAACTTAATATAAAGGATTTAAAAACACACAAATCTCACGGCAGCACGAACTCGTGATGACTGCGCAGGTGAGAGGGCATCTTGGCGAACCGGTTTCACGTCGGGTTTATTTATAATCACACACAGAGATCACTCACTACCACCCACCACCACCAGCCACCCACCAACACCACCACCACTACCAACACCACTCACCACCACCAACACCACCACCACCACCCACCCACCAACACCACCACTACCAACTCCACCAGCATCACTCACCACCACCACCAACACCCCCAGCACCACTAACACCCCCACCACCAGCACCACCACTCACCACCACCACTCACCACTACTCACCACCACCACTCACCACCAGCACCACTCACCACCATCCACCACTACCAACAACCACCACCACCAACACAACCACCACCACCAACACAACTCACCACCACCTTACTCACCACCACTCACCACCACCATCACTCACCACCACCACTAACCACCACCAACACAACTCACCACCACCTTACTCACCACCACTCACCACCACCACCACCACCACTCACCACCACCATCACTCACCACCACCACTAACCACCACCAACACAACTCACCACCACCTTACTCACCACCACTCACCACCACCACTCACCACCACCATCACTCACCACCACCACTAACCACCACCAACACAACTCACCACCACCTTACTCACCACCACTCACCACCACCACCACCACTCACCACCACCATCACTCACCACCACCACTAACCACCACCAACACAACTCACCACCACCTTACTCACCACCACTCACCACCACCACTCACCACCACCATCACTCACCACCACCACTAACCACCACCAACACAACTCACCACCACCTTACGCACCAACACAACTCACCACTCACCACCACCACTCACCACCACCACTCACCACCACCAGGGGTAGCAAGCCACTTAGGGGCAAGTGCTGTTCTCTATTCAGGGTTGGTGGTGGTGTTGGTGGTGGGGTTGGTGGTGGTGGTCGTGGTGGTGGTGGTGGTGAGTAAGGTGGTGGTGGTGTTGGTGGTGGTGTTGGTGGTGGTGCTGGTCGTGGTCGTGGTGGTGCTGGTGTTGGTGTTGGTGATGATGGTGTTGGTGATGATGGTGGTGGTGTTGTTGGTGGTGGTGGTGTTGTTGTTGGTGGTGGTGTTGTTGGTGGTGGTGTTGGTGGTGGTGGTGTTGTTGTTGTTGGTGGTGGTAGTTTTGTTGTTGGTGGTGTTGGTGGTGGTGGTGTTGGCAGCACAACGCCCTGCACAGCTTTTGTCTCCCCACAAAGACAACAAAGAAAGCCGCCCCGTGTCAACCCATACAGGTCAACCCCCTAGTATCACCACCACCATCATCATCACCACCACCATCATCATCACCACCACCATCACCACCACCACCACCACCATCATCATCATCACCACCATCATCATCATCACCACCACCACCATCACCACCACCACCACCATCATCATCACCACCACCATCATCATCATCATCACCACCACCATCATCATCATCACCACATCACCACCACCATCATACGGACCTCGTCATCATAAACCTGTCAAGTAGGAAATGACGCAGCATGCGTTATCAGCTGTGCGCTCGTGGTGTGTGTATTTATATGTTTATATAATTATCTAACCCCAAACCGGTTGACCAACATTGCCCTCTGCTCACGGTACGTGCTTGAGGTGCCCGTCAGAATGTGGGGAGCGGTGGTGCAGCGGTTAGCGCGACGCCGCGCTACGAACCCGGCCACCCGAGTTCGATTCCCGCTCACGGCCAACGCCAGTGACGGATTATGATCTGAACCCGGCACCTGGGCCTCCGCTAGGTCGACTCGGCCTCG